ACTGCTTAAAGATAAAGAAAAGGAAAATAAATAATAAAGTAAATTTATATCATACCACTTATATGCTTAACAGAGATTAAAGAAAATAATATTTTTAAAAAGTAAAATTGTATCATAAATTGTGCTGGAGTTCAAAGTTCATGAAAGCAGGCTAAATGAAGATAGTTATGTTACAGAGATATTAAAGCTATAATGTAAAAACAGAGTGTACGTAGCCCTTCATGAAAGATTTAAAACTTTCAGTTAGATAAACTTGGATTTGAATGAGTTCTATAATTTACATGCTACAAGACCTCTTAAGGATGAAATAAACCTCTCCTATCTTCTGTTTTGTAATCTGCAAAATGAAAATAGTATCCTGATATAAATTAAATGGAAACTATGAGTTTCATATAATCTACCAAAAGGAGGCTCTTAGTAATGGTTTTTGTTTTCCTTCCTTCATCCTCTCTACCACTGTTCTTTGTTGTAATTTAAAAGACATTAACACAATCATCATAAGGGGATTAAGTAAAAGCACAAGGGGTAAGAACTACTCAACAAATTTACAGTAAGAAAGATAAAAAAAACCCAACAAAACAACCAGCAGCTAAGATTTCTGACTTTCTTGGATCATTAAAACACTGTTCCAAGTACAGAATCATGCTGTTTGAATTAGCTACATGGGAAGTCTTGGAGCAGTAAAAAGCATCTCTTAACTATCCACCATGTCTGTTTCCACAAAACATTTAATGAAAAAGAAAAATCTACTAAGGCTGTTTATTCATTTCTAGGAACCCATGAGTTGTTTTTATATCATAAAGAAGGGCACTTCAGGGGCTGGGAAGGTGGTTCAGTGGTAGCGCGCTTGCCTTGCATGCCTGAGGCCCTGGGTTCAATTCCTCAGCACCACATAAGCAAAAAGAAAAAAGCCGGAAGTGGTGCTGTGGCTCAAGTGGTAGAATGCTAACCTTGAGCTGAAGAGTTGAGGGGCCACACCCAGGCTCAGAGTTCAGGCCCCATGACTGGACCCTCCCCCCCTAAAAAAAGAAGGGCACCTCACATTAGCCACATAATAAAACCCAAGAGAAGGAAGACACTGAATTGTTTTAAATAGCTTAAATGTGACTGCCAATCAGCCATTTAAGAAGAAATTCATTTTAACAGATGTAGACACGATGGATGTCAGACAAAGCAAAAGTTTCTAATGCTACTAACTTAGAATTTTGTTTTTATAGAGTTATTATAGCAGGTCAGTCTGATACAGAGTAATTTGGACAGGAACATGTGTTCAATGATGGAAGAATTAATCCTGGACACAACATTCTAGTTTCTGTACCTGCGTTATGAATTTTCCACCCTCCTACACATCATGTAATAAAATTATTCCATCTAACTCCTTATTCTTCCTGATTGACCTTGGTTAAGACAGAAATCCCTTCGGGGAGGGTCCTCTTTCAGATACTTTTCATTTATACTTTAGCTTAATGGGACTTGACTATTCTGCTCAAATTAAAAGTAAGGATTAGTGGCTCACATCTATAATCCTACCTGAGATCTGAAGATTGTGGTTCAAAGCCAGCCCGGCAGGGAAGTCTGTGAGACTCTTATCTCCAATAAATACTGAAAAAGCTGGAAGTGGAGCTATGACAAAGTGGTAAACTGCTAGACTTGAACTAAAAAGCTCAGGGAGAGTGCCACGGCCCTGAGTTCAAGGCCCAGAACTGGCACGATAAAACAAAACAGTAAATATTACTAATGTTTGGGGTTAAAGGAAGAAAAAAAAACCCAAGGGTATAAAAATCAGAGGTTCTGGGTATCAAAGCTGAACCTTACCTATTTAAAAAATATCATTATTCTGTCTAGGTTTACAGTTAATTATAATAATTTGTTTCAATCATGTGCCTTTACCTCTATATCTCTAAGCACTTAGTTCATAATTATGTTTGTCAAGCTGTTATGGGTAATGACCTGTTGTACCACTGAGGAAAAATAAGACCAAGAAAAAAAGATGTTGAATGAATTTCAGGGAGGTGATGTGTTAAAACTACTAAATACAGGATTTCTGATATGGATGGTATCTATAAAACTGAAATCACACAAGGGAGAGGCCTTTTTGGGTTTCACTGTGGATGTTGTTTTCAATTTATCAGAAGTCACTGACTGAGCTGATATATGGGATGAAGTTAATCAATGAAAATTGCTCAACTAATCAGCCATCCTCATTACATGAATGTATATAAACTGAGGTGGCCTCAGGTACCAAGCAATGCTTTCTTATACTTAAAGATAGACATATTTGAGTATCTAAGATGGAAATGTATTTTGATGAATAACTTCTTCATGAAATAAATATCTAACCCATGTTTTCATAAAAGTTCATTTTAAATGCATCTTAAAATAAGAGAAGAGTAAGGCTGGGGCAGATGGGGGAGAATGATAGAAGAGGTGACATTGATCCAGGTGCCCTGTACTCATAACGTGACAGCTTCAACTGAAAACCATTCCAAGATAATAAGAAAAGAAACAGTGAAAACAATAGTAAAATAACTAATACTGGATAGGAAAAAATTACAGGCATGTTGAGGATTTTGTGATATATACTAGTATCCATAAAATAAGGGACTAAATCAAAGATTTAGTATACTTTCTAGGATTGAGGGAAGTGGGGGAGTGGGGAAGTGAGTGGGGAAGGGGGTAAATCCAGGAGCAGTAGATACTAACCCAGGGATATAACATCTAGTCAGAGAGCCAGAGACCTGAGCACAAGGACTTTTGCCCTCTCTATTCTCAGTCTTCCTCAATATCCTCATCCCCACCTAGCTTCCCCCTCTCATCCTTGGCTATGTACTTGTGGCCTAAATGAGAAGAGGCAGAGAAACCTCTGAATCCTTCTTAGACCGTGTTTTCTTCAGTCTTTAAAGAAAATATGAATTTACTCTGACCAAGGTTTTTAAAACTTGGTATCTCCATTGCAACATTTTTATGTTGTCTTTCTATGTAAGACATACTTCCCATGGAAGTTCTATACATGGAGACACAGACAAGTAACATTTCAAATCCTCTCACTATTACATCCTTAGCTTATGTTTTATTCTTTTTTACATAAACATAGTAATTTACTGATAAGAATATGCTAGAGGTTCAAGTTAGGTTGGTTTTTTTTTCACATTTGGAATTAACAGAATGGAGATTCAAGGACACAGGATGACCCGTTGCAACAACGATACCCACAGGGCAATATACCGGAAGTGGACTTTACAACTTTGAGCAGCACAGACAGTGGGGGGGCGGGGGAGTAGGAGTGTGGGAGGTGGGAAGGGAAGGGATAGTGGGACAAGAAGAAAGGGAAGGGGTAACAATGATCGACAAGTAATGTACTCATTGCCTTATTCATGTAACTGTAACCCCTCTGTACAGCATCTTAACAATAAAAGAAAAAAAAAGGCAAGCAGAAAGAGAAGTAGTGAAACCAAAACATGCATTGAAGATCTAGAGAGAAAAAAAGAAAACAATGAAGTTCTCAATTGTGAACACTGAAAATTAACTTTGAGCAAATTTAGAATGTTAAAATGTAACAATACAAAATATAGACAAGAATAAATTATTTTCCATACAGTAGTCTAAGTCTTGATTTTCTGCAGAAAATCTCCTTGCTTTATCTAACAATGTGCCAGCACTTCTCAGACTTGAGTTTATTAACTACTAGTAGGTCTGATATTGGTATTCTAGAACTACTTCCAAGGTGGAAGTATATTCCTTACTGATCTTTTCAAAAAAAAAAAAAAACAGACATGAATAAAGAATATGGCATCTCCTAATATATACATACAACTTCTGCAGTAGTACCAAAGGAAATATTGTAAAATGAAAATATGTACACAAAACCAATCAGAGAACTACACTTTCATGTGGAATGCTATCTATCATCCATTTTCTATTTCTATTTCTATGAAAGCTGAATCCACAGAAACACAGTAGAATGGTGGATTCGGGGGGGGGGTGAAGAAAAGGGGTAAAATAAATGAAATGTTGCTCAAAGAGTACAAATTTGCAGTTGGGAAAAGAGTAATTCTAGCTGGGCACTGGTGGTTCAAACCTGTAATCCTAGAGATCTGAGTGAGGATCATGGTTCGAAACCAGACTGGGCAGGAAAGTCTGCGAATTATCTTTATTTAACCAGCAAAGAAGCTAGAAATGAAGCTGTGAGGTAGAATGCTGGTGGTGAGCACAAAAGCTCAGGGAGAGTGCATGGGTCATGATTCAAACCCCTAAAACCAGCACACACACACAAAAGCTCCGAAGATCTAATATATATCATAAGGATTACAGTTAATAACATTGTATGGTATATTTGAAATCTGCTAAGTAGCTTTTAGGTATTCTCATAAAAATAAAGGTAATTATAAAAAGTGATGGAGTGTGTGTTAATTAACTTCATTGATCATTTCACCATATCTACTTCATATCAAATCAGCTAACTATCCAAAACCCAGAAGTGGAACTGTATCTCAAGTGGTAGAACATCAGGCATGTGTGAAAAAGCTAAGGAGCTCAGTGCCCAGGTCCTGAGTGCCCAGTGCTGGCACAAAATATACACAATTCCTATTTTTCAAAGGATTATTAGATTATCTTTCAAATTTGAAGCACCAGAATGCTATTCTGTTAATTGCCTATCAAGATAAGGATACTTGATGGATTTTATTTTCCTTGACTTTGTATATGAATAATAATGATAATCAGTAAGTGGCATTTAAAAAAACACTCATTTTTAGAATCACGAAAGATGAAGAGATGAGTAGAGGTTTTATATTTAAACAGAACACAGACTTCCAATTCTGTAACATGCCCCATTCTTCGCACTCATCTGCTTCCCCAAAGAACAGAGGCTGAATGGAAAGCTGAGTCATATGCCAGTTGAGAGCTAGAATGACAGCTGTAGGAACTGGAGCTGCAGCAGTTCCCATTATCCATTGATCACCTTGGCAATTCTTATTTCATCCTGAAAACGTGATACTTACTCTTGTACTGCTCTGGCTATGGAAAGGGCCGTTGATCCAGTTTCATTAACGCTATCTAAGGTCACATTTGGCAGGTCATCATCGTCACTGTCACTTTTACTTTGTCTGGGAGATAGGCCTCGGGGCTCCATTTGTGCTGGGGGGAAAAAAGGCATATATAATGAATTAAAATTAGCATGTAAACTTTGTCCTGGACCAGCATCAAGCATGGATTATTATCTCTTCTGAGCCTGTCTGGCAAAAGAAATTCTGTAGTCATTAGTCTAGAATGAGTGAACATTATTTATGTTGCATACTGAGCACTCCCAAGAGTTGCAGGTACAATTCAGAACAGAAGCTATAAAATCTACAATATTATCACTGCTGGGGAGGGGGTAGGTCAAAAGCTGATTATGCAGTCATAAGCTGCCTACTAGCCTACCCTTTGGCTTTTGCCTATTGGCTTCTGTTGGCAGATCATGGCCATGTCCCAGTTGATTAAGCACTTTCTCTGGATGATGGAGAGAACAAAGTAGAGGAGGTTTGCTTATGTAATGTTCTCACAGTGAGTTTAAAGAAGAACAAGGTTGAAATGGCTTAGGTACTTTTCATATTTCACTGAACTGTCTCTTCTGATCCTCACCTGGACATGGAGATGTGAGTGTACAAGAAACAGCAGAGGTGACAGTAATTTACATTCTGTTCATATATGCTAGAAAGGGCACTTCATCTCCATTCTCATTTCATTTTTTTTTCAAAAAAGGCATTTCCAGATAAGATTTTCTTACATCAGTGAAGTTGCCAAGGTAAGAAGTTTGTGTTCCGACCTCATGAGTCAGAATCATATAACCTTTCAAAGAGACTGTCAATATGCACTATGTGAACACAGAGTTTCTTTAAATTATACTTCTTTCTGCTTCTCCATGAACAACTTTAGCAACCACTGACGAGAATTTCCATGTCTTCGTCTCTGGCACAAAACAAGCACCTCTGCTCAACGAAAAGAACTAAGCGGCTACGCAGCTGCATTGTTCAAATATATGGCTCCAACCCACTCACATTCAACGCAAACTCCTGTTCCACAAAGGTGCCAATGGAAGCTTTCTCAACTCCCACTCCTTACGAAGAAAACCACAATACAGTTTGAAACATGGCAATAATGACACTGGGGTACAAATGCATTTAAAATCATGACATTTGGGTACATTTGTGAAAAAGAGACCTTTACTCAAATCATTTTGTTGTTGTTGTTACTACACATTTAGCTAGGACCAAATGGAAATCCTCCAACACATTTTTTTTAAATCTACCTGTACCAATTTTCTATGGCTATCCACAATAAAAATATGACTAGGAAAACTACACCTAGAAACTTTCTATAAATATCTAAAATGAACTGGTTAGCAAGGGAATGGCATTTATTGAAGCTAGTACTTGGTAGACGTGTATTTGGTATACATTCTGCCTGTAAATACAAATCAAAGAAAACGTATTTTGTGCAATACAAATGCTTGGAAAATGTTGGCTGAATTAATTACAGTAATATAAAGTAGATGCCTCCAAATAAAGACAAATATGCTCCTTACTATACGATTCTGGCAGCATGTTGAGATACTTTTTTTTTTGCCAGTCCTAGGACTTGAACTCAGGGCTTGGGCACTGTCCCTGAGCTCTTCAGCTCAAGGCAAGCACTCTACCACTTGACCAAAGTGCCACTTGCAGTTTTTCTGGTGGTTAATTGGAGCTAAGAGTCTCATGAGCTTTCCTACCCAGTATGGCTTCCAACTCCAATCCTCAGATCTCAGCCTCCTGAATAGGTAGGATTACAGTCACCAGATACCAGTATCAGGCTAGAGATACTTTTGATTGTCAAAGCTTGGAAGAAGGTGTGTGATACTGTCATCTTCTAGAAAAGCAGTCAAGGACATTCTACAAGACTCAGGTCAGTCACTCACAACAAAGAATTGATCATTTAAAAAATTTCAATAGTAAAAACTGACCTAGTGATAGAAGAATTTGGACATATAAAGATATTATGCCTTATTGCTATGTATAGTTACATAACTATGTCCTAGCTTCAATATAACTAAGAAGTTCAGTCACATGTTGATGGATCATCCATGTTTTATGGCCTTGTACTCTAATGAGAATTTCACTGTTATGTGAATTCTATATTTATAATTTCCTCAAATATAGTGTTTACCTCCTCAAATACTAGCAATGATGAAGTAACTTTCAGTAAGAGCTTCGGAATGCTTTCTTTGTAGGTTTTTGTGGTTCCAAACAATGGTTGATTTTCCCTTTGTCTCAGAAGAGGGATATTGGGAAAAATTCTGAGTAGCAAACCAGCCCCACTACAAACTGATAAAACACAGAACCGAACTATTCAGACAGTCTAACAGCACCGAAGGAATTACTTAGGAGTTGTTTTGCTTATAGGCAACAGAAATTGGGACAATAACCTATATTAAGAGGAATCTATGGTCGTGTTGTCAATTGAGGACATGGATAAATTTTGTCAAATGTGTTGTTAAATAATTTTATACACTTTTGATTATAATATTAGAGTCTGTCTACATAAACGAAAATGGTGAAAAAGGCCATCTACATGGCACAATCTTGTGGGACCACCATTGTAGGAGTAGTCTGTTATTGACTAAGACATGGTTATGTAATGCATGAACACTCATGCATACCAGAAAGATACTGAGCAAACCCAAAACGGAAGGTGCAAATAAATAACCAGCACAAAACTAAAGGAAGATACAGGTATTTCAGCCAGGAATTCATAGTTTCTTCCTGGACAATTTTGCTCTAAAATGATTTAACATCCATTTATAACTATTCAAAATCAGCCAAGAAAAAGAATTCACAATCTATCTAGACTTCCAAATCTCATATGGCGTTGTTACATGTGCCTGTGTCAGCAACGTAATATTTAAGTTGATGAAACTTCCTTTGTTAAGACACCTTTAGGAAGGTATCAAATTAGAGAATAATCAAAGGATAGTCTTATCCTAGTGGTTTAATGTTGTCCTAGACAACTGGAGCTTGCAAATGTAAGTGACACAATTCAAGGAAAATACAGGCACCTAACCAAGAAGCAATCTGGCCCTGAAAGTTCAATTCTAAGTGTATGAAACATTCCAAATGACTTGTGTGAGAGTTGTTACAGGATCATCTAAATTATGTTATGTTTACAGCTAAATGAAAGTGAACAGTATGTTAAATGAGATATCTTTTTTGATGTACTTTTTAGGAGCATGATAATTGAGGATTTCTTTCCAATATTTTCAATAAATATTATGAAATACATCTGCTACCATGCTGGGAAATTCATTTTACCCATACCTTCAGCCAAGCTGAGGAAGTAATTAGAAAAGCTTTTTATAAAAATTTGCATTGCTGATTAGGTCAGATGATTAGCTTATCTACATACTTGCATAATTCCACTCTATTTTTATTAAATGTGGATATAGATCTCTACCCTAGTTAACCTCTATTCACTGGAGCCCTTTAGGAAGGATTAATTCTCCATGGTGCTGATTTAGAAACAATATAAAAGTTACACCAGCAATCTGACTCTGTGTGTGTGTGTGTGTGTGTGTGTGTGTGTGTGTGTGTGTGTGTGTGTGTGTGTGTGTGTGTGTGTGTGTGTGTGTCCCTAGTAGAGAACTGATCTATAAACATCTGAGAAGATTTTCTCTCTCTAAATTTGAAAAAAACCTCAAAGACAAAAGGCACTTGGGAGTTGAGGGTTCTGTAACACTGTATGACTTTAATCCCATATGACAAAACTCCCAAGAAGATCTCTGCAGAATCCCAATGTCTGCAGCTGAACTGACTGATGGTCAAGTCTACCCATGGTAGACTGTGACAGTAATACAGCACAAGTCCTTACATCCGTGTCCCTGTGTGGCTGTTTCTGATTATGATGAGGCTGGACTCTATGTCTTGATGTGGCCAATGGACTACTAGTAAAGTGATTGAAGTCTTTAATAATCCTCGCCCATTGGCTTTCCCCTTTCACTGGGCTGGTTTTCAAAGTTACTCATCCATGTAAAGAAGCCTGAGAGGGTATATAAGAGACTTGTTACACACCGGGCAGCCAATCCCAGCTGGCAGCCATGTGTGTGACCTATTTCAGACTGGTGGGCCACATTCCAGCCACCAGATGACTGCCTGGAAAACCACATCCAATTTTTCACCCACGGCATTGCAAACACACAAAAGAGCTGCTATATTAATCTACTCATTTGGGGGATAGTTTCTTAAGAGAACAGTACACAATCAATGTGTGCATAATCTCCCAGATTCTCCCAGACATTCTTAAAAATGACATGAGCAAACTAAGACCGCATATACACTCACCCACTCTCATCTAGCCTCCCTCCAAGTGACAGCCTCCTACATGGTTTAAAGCTTCAGTGGGATATTAATATGCAAGTATAATAATGGCTACACACTAAATTCTACCATATCTTTCAATTTAAGATATTCACCATGTGTAGACAGATGTTTTGACACTGGAGAGGCTTTCTGACACTTCTACCTATTACTATCTATTCTATTACCGCTCACAGGAACAAAGCCTTTCCATATCCCCTCTTAAGCTCATACTTGACAGCAATGATCACGAAAGGTATGTGGTCACCTGAAGCTCTCCATCCCACTTTGACTTTCTGCAACCCACCCAACACATCTAAACTGCTCTTTTCCCCTCCCATGTGATAGTGGGACAATATTACATATACTTTGCACTAAGACAAAGTCTTGACACCCCTCACCAAAGGCTGAGTAGTGTGTGCTTGTAACCTGATCTACTTGGGAGACTGACCTAGGGAGGATTCCAGTTCTAGGCTTGTCTAGACAGAGAAATCCATGAGACTCCAACAACATGGATGCAAGCTTACCACAGTGGCTTGCACCTGCCACCCCAGTGATAGTGAGAAAGCTGAAGTAAGTGTATCAAAGTCCAGGAATGGGCGCAGTGCCGAGCAAGATCCTATCCTAAAAATAATCAGTGAGAATCAGAGCTGGACTCACAGTCCAGAAGTAGTACACCAGCTTAACAAGTGCAAGGCCTTGGGTTTAAATCCTAGTAAATGAATGACTAAGTGAATGAATGCATAAATATGACTGGGTTTGATCCCCAAC